CTCCTCCCCAGCTGATCGGCAGTTCTAGGACTAGGGTTACACTCAGAGCTCCTTATCTGACTTTTCTTCTCAGACTCTTTCTCCGAGGTATTAGTGGTGTCCCACAGCATTACCTGTGCCCATCAGACAGCCCGAGGTACAGATGTTTGTGCCTGGGGTTTGCAAGTTGAAGTGACTTACCCTGCAGCTGGGATTATACTTGCTTCTGTACACCTGAGGAGCTATTTAAGGGTGGCAAGAGCATACAAAAGGTGTTATGGGGCATACTTGTGCAAGAACACTCATGAAGTATGAGCTTGCACATGCAGACTCAGTTTGCTTTGCTGCATCAATCTGTTCATGCCATAAAGTATAAATAACAATCTTATGGATGGAGAGTACCTACCAAAGTTGCCAATGATCTTCATTGTTGACAAAGGTCTACTAGACTAGTATTCTCAGAACCCAGATAAATTAGATCAGGCCATGTCCTACTTATGAGTGAGAAGAGAAAATTAGTCCCTGACATCTAGCTGTTCTCCAGATCCTATCAGCTTGGCTTTGGTGGTCACCTGGTAAACTTAAACACATTCACAGAACATCAACATTAGACAAGGCCACTCTGTGACCTTGATGAATGACAAAAAAGAACATGATCCCTCTGTAATCATCTCTGAAAATAGACAATACCAAAATACTGGTATTTTCCGTGTCACAGTAATGATCTGATAGTCTGCACTCTCATGAGTGATTCCTGTTTCTTCACTTACTATAGTTCTAGCCTTAGTCTAGTCTATCCTCCTTCTAAATAAGACTTACAAAGATCCTCATTGAATTACCCCACACACAACTTACTGGCAGCATGGCTTAGTCTAGTCTGTCCTCCTTCTAGACAAGACTTACCAAGATCCTCATTGAATTATCCCCCACACCACTTCCCAGCAGCATCCAAATCAAAGCAAACACACTTCCTTAAATAATCCCCCCAAATAACATGAGTAAATTTTACAATAAGTTCAAATACCCCCTTAGGGAGATGTCACAAAGTTCCCATAATGTGTGTTTTCCCTTAGCAAAAAGTAATAAACCCAATTTGTATAATTTCAGGTGTGTTCCTGGTAGTCAACAGTTAAAAGATAAACTATTACTCAGTGATTATGGTGGGAACTTTATAGTTGATCAAACAACTATGGTCGTTCTGATGACCAACAGTCATTGGTCGTTAGGTTTTTCTTATTGTGATAAAATACATGTAACGTAGAATGTACCATCTGAACTATTTTTAAGTGTACAGTTCAGAGGCAGTAAATGCATTTACATTGTTGTGTAGCCATCACACTAACTACCCATCTCCAGAACCTCTTCACGATCCTAAACTGAACCTCTGTACCCATTAAACCATAATCCTTATTTTCCACATCCCCAGTCCCTGATACCTAAATGTTGTACTTTCCGTCTGTACGTATTTTACTATGTTAGGTAGCTGGTATAAGTGGACTCACATAGTATTTGTCTTTTAGTGTCTGGCTTATTTCATTTAGCATAATGTCTTCAAAGCTCATCCATGTTGTAGCAGGTTTTGGAATTTCCTTCCTTTTTAAGGTTGAATAATATCCCATTATACAATTATACCACATTTTGTTTATGTATTCATCTGCCGATGGACATTTGGGTTGTTTCCACCTTTTGGCAATTGTGGTTAATACTGCCAATGAACACTGGTATAATTATAGTAATAATTATTCTATTTTTAGCAAGGATGAGTAAAAATGTTTCAGGATTTATTTTTGTTTCTGCACATGAACCTAAAAGGAGTCTCTTTCTTCCTTCCCAGGCCACCTTTCACCTCTAGCAACTCCCATGCTGACAACTCAAACATTTTGCAACTAATAACCCCTCAAAATCTACATCAGGGTTTTTCTAAGTGTCATCACTGACTTTACCAAGATAGCACTAGGGACAGGACAAATTAGGGGAAATAGTAAAGATGCAAAAACAATTTGAACCAACTTTTCTTTCAAAATCTACTCTCAAAAATAAGTTATGTCTTTTGCTACTTAGTGAAGTGCTAAAAGATAGGCATACTAAAGGAGGCTTATTGACATTGATGTCATTTATTTATTCAACCATTAAGCTATCATTTGCCAGTTTCTTCTAGAAACAAATTCAGGGACTTGCTGCTCTATCCTCTCTAAGATAAAGCACATAAGAGACATTTAAGAAAAATTTATGAAATGAGTAAGTGAATGATTATTATGAGCCCCTTTTATGCCTGAGGCATTGTGAGAGGCATTAGAGGGTATCAAATAACCCCGTCCCTGTCCATATAATGCTTTAAGCTAAATGCGAATTAGAAACACACTACAAGATAGCTATAAACAAACTGCAGTGGGTGTGCAGAAAGAGATTACTTCTACTATGGACAGGAAGGACAGTTGCAAAGATGAGTTAGAATGAGAAGAATTTCGAGAGGTAAAAGCATGAAAGTGCATTCCACAGTGGTAGCAAGAAGCAGAACTATAAACTAGAGTTTACGGAGTTCCTGATTTGCTCAGTAAACTTTAAATTCTCCATGTAACCTTTGTAGTGCCTTCCATTTTCCCTCTCTGGGGAGGAAATACTTTCTCTTCACACATTAGTTAAGGAAATTAAGAAACACACGATAACTAAGTGGGAAAACATGGATTTGAATCTAGGGCTTCCGATTCAAAAGCATGTGATTCCAACTTCTAGAATATATTCAGTGGGTGCTTATAGCTTCTTCTGTGCTGGCCCAAAAGGTGCAGATGTAGAGGAAGAGAGGAGAGTGAGAACCAAAAACTGTAGGGGCAAAATGATTGAGGGAAATGGGGGTTGTTAACTTTTTTCTTACTTTGAACTTAAGTACAGAAAGCATTTTTATACTCGAAATACAGTAAAGTTTTTTGAATGGAATATTGTAAAGAATAGTAAAGAAATCCTACATTGATTATTAATAGTTAATTTTACAAAGGTTCTTTATTGCTCTTTTTATATTCCCTTTTCTTTAAGTTTGACTCTATAAATGTGTATTTCCAAACACTGTATTTTAATGATCTGGCTGAGATCATTAAGCAGAGTTCCTCTTTTAAAATGTTTATTGTTCAGCTGCAATGTTCTCTACTGTTTTCTAACCTATAACTGTCTTTGTTTTTAAGAACATAATTCAGGAACAATTTAATTATAAAAATAAAACACATATTCTCACCAATAACTGAGAAATATTCTGAACTATTGAAAAAAATGCATAGCAAAGAGCCATGTATATTTTTTCCTCTAATATATTTTACTTTTTTTTTTTTTAAACTTTTTTGGTTATTTATTTTTGAGACAGAAACAGAGCATGAGTAGGGGAGGGGCAGAGAGAGAGGGAGATACAGAATCTGAAGCAGGCTCCAGGCTCTGAGCTGGCTGTCAGCACAGAGCCAGATGAGGGGCTCGAACCCACAAACCGTGAGATCATGACCTGAGCCGAAGTCGGACGCTTAACCGACTGAGCCACCCAGGCGCCCTAATATATTTTACTTTTTAAATTGAAGTATAATTAACATATAATGTTATGTTAGTTTCAGGTATACAACATTTTGATTCAACGATTCTGTACATTACTGAGTGCTCAACATGATAAATGTAGTCACGATCTGTCACCAAACAACATTATTACAATATAATTATATTCCCTTTGCCATACTTTTCATCTCCATAACTTATTTATAACTGAAAGTTTGTATTTCTTAACTTCCTTCAGCTATTTTGTCCATCATCTTACCTACCTCCCTACTGGAAACTATCAGTTTGTTCTCTGTATTTAAGAGTCTGCTTTTTTGTTTGTTTGTTCATTTGTTTTGCTTTTTAGATTCCACATATAAGTTACATCACATTGTATTTTTATTTTGTCTGACTTTTTTCACTTAGCATTATATCCTCTGGTTCCATTCATGTTGTTGCAAAAGCTCATCTTTTACTATGGCTGAGTAATATTCCATTATATTACATATGGTATAATATATATGTGGTATAATATTCCACTATATCACAAACTCTCTATCCATTCATCTATCATTCATCTATCAGGGGACCTTTGGGTTTCTTGCTTATATTGACTATTTAAAAAATGCTTCAGTAAACATAGAGGTGCATGAATCTTATTAAATTAGCGTTTTCATTTTCTTTGGATAAATACTCTGTAGTGGAATTACTGGATCATGTGGTATTTCTATTTTTAATTTTTTAAGGAAACTCCATACTGTTTTTCACAGTGGTTGTACCAGTTTACATTCCCCCAAACAGCTGCATAAGAGTTCCTCTTTCTCTACCTTCTTGTCAACACTTGTTATTTCTTGTCTTTTATTTTAGCCATTCTGACAGGTGTAAGGTGATACCTCATTGTGGTTTTGATTTGCATTTTCCCAATGATTAGTGATGTTGAACATCTTTTCATGTGTATATGTTGGCCATCTCTATATCTTCTTTGGGATAATGTCTATTCAGGTCTTTTGCCCAGGTGTTTAGTTGGATCTCTTTTCTTTTCTTTTCATTTTTTTTTGCCTTTTTTTTTTTTTGGTGTTGAGTTGTATAAATTCTTTATGTATTTTGGATATTAACCCCTTATCAGATATATCACTTGCGAATATCTTCTCCCATTTAGTATGTTGCCTTTTTGTTTTGTTGATGGTTTCCTTTGCTGAGCAGTAGCTTTTTATTTTGGTGTGGATCCAATCAGTTTATTTTTGCTTTTATTTCCCTTGCCTGAGGAGACATATCTAGAAAAATATTGCTAAGGCCAATGTCAAATAAATTACTGCCTATGTTTTGTTCTAGGATTTTTATGATTTCAGGTCTCATATTGAGGTCTTTAATCCATTTTGAGTTTATTTTGTGTATGGTGTAAGAAAGTGATCCAGTTTCATTCTTCTGCATGTAGCTGTCCAGTTTCCCCACCACCATTTATTGAAGAAACTGTCTTTTCCCCAGTGAATATTCTTGTCTCTTTTGTAATAGGTTAACTGACCATATAAGCATGGGTTTACTCCTAGAAAGAAAGAACTGTGTATTCTTAAGAGTGAAAGAGGATATGAAGAAAATGTTCTGAGTAAGTAGCAATGTTTATAAACTGGGCATTGTGTGATTTGGATGGACAGAGATAGTACATGAATAAGTTTTAACAGTAGCATGAAACCACTGCAGTAAGTTATTTTGTTCTTTCCACTTATGCTTTGAAAAGTTTTTTAAGGTTAGCTATTATTGATACCATAATTAGAAATCATTACTATTTTTTCATCTCTGTTGTGGAGATGAAAATTTTATTCTATACCTTGAGTTGTCTGGATAGACAACTGGAAAGAGTAAAAAACAAAAAACAAAGGAAATATGTTCATTCTGTCTCTTGCTATTTCCAGCAGCTACATGCATGAGAAAGTATCAGCTGTAGAGTCATAAGGGTCATTAGAAATTAGAAATCAGAAACCAGTAACAACCTCTAGTTTATTTCAGTTTACCAGTGGTAGTGATGGTTACTTTTACGTGTCACCTTGGCTAGGCTATGATGCCCAGTAGTTTAGTCAAACACTGGTCTAGATGTTGCTGTGAAGGTCTTTGTGGATATGATTAGCATATATAATTATTTTACCTTGGGTAAAACAGAATATTTTCTATAATGTTGTTGGGCTTCATCCATCCGTTAACTGTCTGAAGAACAGAGACAGTTAAAGAATAGAAGTCCTACTTGAGTTGCCAGCCTACTGGCCTGCCTTTTAGGTTTTCTAGCTCTCATGATCACATGAACCAATTCCTTAAAATAAATCCTTCTCTCTCCTTCCTTCCCCCCACCTCTCCTCTCTCTCCTCCCCCCCATATATAGTTTGTATAAACTGCATATATATTTCTCTCTATATATATACATATATAAACGAACTGCCTATGTGTGTGTGTGTGTCTGTGTGTGTGTGTATACACACACATATATATTAGAGTGTGTATTTAGCTCACTATATATATATATAGGCAGAGAACCATGACATACAGTGGACAAAGTAAAACCCAGTGAAATCACATGATTTTCTTAATGCAGGGCTGGTAATGGAAAGATGAGGAAACTAGGTCATAAAGTTGCCTAAAATATTGTTTATAAGGCTGTGGGGAAAATTCAGAACTATCAACTTTCAGCCCTATCCTTTCTGGTGGATTGCATGCTGAGAAATATGAAGTTTTATGCAAAATCAATATATTAAAAATTCTGAAATTTAAAGCAGACAAAATAGAAGAGGGATTGTTTGCTTTACCAAAAGATACAGGGTCCAGTTCTTTATAGAGACAACTTTCCTCAACATTTAAAGTGGTTTTCATTAAAAAAAAAAAACAAAACTAAAAATGTTTGTAAAGTTTTAGAGACACATAAGTCAAGATACATACTTGAATAGGGCATATTTTTTAAGTATATCCTATTAAAAATATTCCTAGGAATCAATAAGTATTTCATCCTCTTGAAGATGAATCTGTAAGTATAGAACAAGCAATGAAATAAACATATGTTGTTATGTGAATAAACATAAATCTCACATTTCATATGATGCTTTGCTGAATAACAAAGCTTTTCATATATGCTCCTAGAAGCTTCACTACAAATCTCTGGCTTATTATCATTATTTTATAAAGGAGATAACCAGGGCTGACAGAGATTAGAAGACTTGCCCAATATACTCAGAGACAGAGCAACTGATTCCCAGATCTGAGCTCCCCTCATGGCCCTGCCATGAGGACCACAGAGCACCCACATGAGTCAGAAGAGTGGTATTTGACCCAGAACCTTATAGTGATCTAAATACGCACTCTAATCAAAGGATATGTGGGCTCCTACTGGGCTAGCAAGAATATTAAGATTTACCTTAGGAAAAAAAAAAATCCCAGGACATTTCTTTCCTATTCTTAAAGATAACCCTGCCATGTCCTCTTGAAGCTATGAATTGATTCTAGGCAGGAATGGAAAATTTGATCACAAGGATGAAGAATGTTCTCTTCTCTCTATCCTTCTCAGACTGCTCCCCATTTGGAGTGAATATTCTTTGGGCTGTGCATCTTCATACGATAAACAAGCTTTAGTTGTGGTTTTTAGTGCTGTATGGATTACTGAAATGAAATGATCATTCCCCGATTTGACAGATCTGTCTCCTACCTTGTTTTCATTTCCCCAACCAAATAGCATTTACTTTAGGAACAGAATTTACACACCACTGGATCACAGAAGTAACTTTTTGCATCTACATTCTCTGCATTGCAAAGACCTAGCCTATTTTCAGTGCATCACTTCCACACTCCTCACGCCACCCTTAGACTCATCAGATTTGTAAAACTTTCTCTTCTCTTTCTCATCTGAGAGCAGGTGGACCAAGACAGCACTTTGGAAGCTCAATGAGTGATTTCTCCTGAGAGAGACACATCTCTCTAGTCTGCCAACGAATGAAAAATCAGACAATCGCATACATCATTTTGAATGTTGCCAAATAAATTCCACCCAATGCAACTTGGAATAATCACAGTGTGTCACTGAGAAATGTGATTTTCTTCTGGCATCAGGCTTTAGCCTTGTCTTGAGTGCCTTGAAAACGAGACAGAGGACATAGTTTTCCCATAGCAATAACAGATTTCTCATGATCCCAGAAACGAAGGGGTTGAAATGCTTCTTCACCTTGTAATGTCTCAAACAGGGTATCAGGAATTAAGTAGGAACCACCTGGAATTTACTGCTCTTTGCCTACAACACAGTTGTCAGCCACTCCCCAAATTAGGCAAAGTGGTGATTAAAGACCACCATTTTGTTATTCGCAGGCCTGTGGGCTCTGGCTGAGGAGAGGCACAACCTGTTGTAGCTTATAGAAAGGAAAGCTCTTTGGTAAGAATGGAAAGTCCTGAAAGCCAGTAGGAGAGTCTACTCCCCAGGAGGCGATAGCATCCCAGGTCTACCAGGATTTTAGCTTCAACCACCGGACTGCCTTTCATACAAACTGGACCAGGAAGTCACATCAAAGGGCCGAGCAAGACCGTAGGCAAAGCAGCTGGGTGAACCAAGTTAAAAAGAAGCCAAGGAAAGCTGCAGAATGGCGAGAAAAGGCAGAGACGCAGAGGAGGGATAAGACGGGAGGAGGGAGTCCGGGAGGGAGGGAGGGGAGAGAGCAGAAAGCCGAGCACGGACGTCAGGAACAAAAGCTCCGGCGGAGTCTGGCGGAGGCACTAGGGGAGCACGGGGTGTTTTGAATAATTATTAAAATTAGCATGTGTCTGCGCCATCCTGTGGGTGTGGCGCAGAGCGGAGTGTAAACTCTAGCGGGGCCGGAGCAAACATTGGATTAGCGGCAGCAGCCGGCCAGCCTGCCCGGGAGTGCGGAGACCAGCTCGCGGCACGCCGACCCGCACGATGGCCTCGTCCCAGGGGAAGAACGAGCTGAAATTCGCCGACTGGATGGCAACTCTGCCGGACAGCATCCACAGCATCCCCCTCACCAATTTAGCCATCCCAGGTAGGCGCGCAGAGGCGGCCGACGGGGCGCTCCACCCGCCCCGCCCTGCATTATCCGCCACCAAGTGGGAACTTGCCCGGCTGCCCGAGGGAGGGGAACTCGTCGGCAGGGGTGGGTCTCCGGCCCGGCGAGCGCGTGCTGGGGAGCCTCGGGCCTCCTGGCGTTTCGCAAACCTCAGGGGACCGTGGCGCGGCGAGTCAAGGTGACTGCTGTTGCACGGGGCTTTGGAAGCAGGCCGACTGTGCGAGAGGACGGGGGTTGGGGGAAGCCTCGGCCCTGGGGCCCTCCTGGTGCCCCCTCCCACTGTTCTCCTCCCGGCATCGGCGGGCGGGGGCGATTTCTGGGTCTGCAGGGCGACCGTGCGCGGTGAGAGCGAGGGGGTGTCCGAGGGTTTGGCAAGGGCCAGTGGACCTCCGACTCCATCCCTGTCACGGAATCGAGCGGATCTGATAGATTTCTCAGTTAGAACCTACCCGAATCATTAATATTCGTCCCCAGTCTCCTTTAAAGAGACAAAGCGCTTCCCGAAGAGCGATAAAGTTCGGGGACCCGGGGCGGCGTGACCCTGTCCTTGAAGGGAGCGAGGGGCGGAGGGTGCCGCGTCCTGGCCTGCGTGGACCCGGCGGGCTTGGCGCGGTGGTCGCCGTCTGGATTCGGTTCCGAGGGCGCTCAGCACGGCGCAGCGCCCGGGTCGGGAAAGCAAAGCCGTGCGGACCGGACCGTGCGTCTGTGGCTTGGGACAGACGCCCAGCAGGGAAGCTGCGTGGGCGGCGGACGGGTGGGATGAACCGGCCAACCGAAGGGGCAAGGGGACTGTGCGAGTGTCCAGACAACCTAGAAGGAGGGAAGTCCGGCAAAGCGAGGAAGAGACGCGAGGGACCCAGAGGCTTCAGCATGGCGCGCGCGCCTTCCACCAGAGAACTAGGCAGCTTTCTGGGGCGGGAGCGCGCAGTAGCCCCCAGCTCAGGTAGGGCGGAGCACTACCGTGACAGCCGGGGCCACAGCCGTACTTCGTTACCAATTTGACTTTTCATTTGGGCTGAGGGTGCAGATGCCCGATCCCTCCAGGACCCGCGCTAGAGGGCAGTTTACCCACAGGTAGTCTCTCCCTAGCCCTGAGCTCAACCTGGTTATCAAGTTCACCCTTCTGGTCCATCTCTTCTTGATCTGCCCCATCCAGCGACCCGCTCTTAGCCACTGGAGGAAGACATAATAAAGAGGAAAGGAGAAAAAACGAGAGAGAGAGAGAGAGAGAGAGAGAGAGAGAGAGAGAGAGATTAAGAGAGAGAGAAGGGTTCTTTTGAAAAATCCCAACAGCAGCGCTGGAATTGATCAGTAACTCAGATCAGTGGTCGTTAGTCAAGTGGGTGTTTGGCTCCTAGGACCGGCACAGGTTGCATTCTGAGGGCCAATTCCTGAAGGAAGGGTTTGTCTCCTTTTTCTCTTCTTCAAGAGGTAAGCTACCCAAGAGCCCAGGTATCTCCAAGGGAAAGAACAAGCCAGCTTCTCCACCCTGCACTTACCTGCTACCCCGGTGAGCCTGTGGATTGCTCTTTTAAAGAGGACGATAGAAAGTGCACAACTTTGTTGGCAAAATTTCACTCTCCCTTCCACAGGCGTTCCTATCTTTTCTTCCTTTCTATTTGGTATGTAGACCGTTGCTTTCACATGATCTCACCTGAGCATTTCTGTACACGTAGAAAGTATTAAAGGCAAGGACTCTGATGCCAGTCTTCTGATAGGCGACTCGCCAGATATGCAGGGGGCTTAAAAGCCTAAGTTCACATTGCTAGTTCTGAGGGATGGTATGACACTGTATCAGAATCTATATTACGTTTCTGTAATTCTTCACCTTTCAAAGCCCTAGTATTTACACCAGATCACATAATCCTTCCCCAAACCTCGTGAAGCAGGCAGTGCTGATTCTATTAACTCCATTTCATAGATGCAGCTCAGTGAAGGCAAATGATCTACCATCAGATAAATGATCTGACCCCTAAAGTGGTCCTTAGGGAATGTCTCCTAAGAATTTTCAAGGGAATGCATTGGAATTCGTATCTTGATGACTCAGTAGCAACAGCTACTAACCAGGGTGAGGGGACAAGGAAGTAGGCATTAGCAGGATACAGGGCAATTTTCCTTTTCTCCCTTTGGGACAAAGTGAAAACCTGAGGTCGGAGACTTTGATATTCTGCTCATCTCCCAGTGGAGGCATTGGGGGTGAGATTGGGAGGCTTTACATGGGTTCCATTTTGCATATAGTACTAGAGGGGCTGTGGCATTGGACACAGTGGGAATTTTCACTGCTTTCCCAGCCCTTCTTAATATTATACTCCAAGCGAACCCCCTGCAAAGCATCCCATTCTCACCCCTAATACTTTGAGAAAAAGAATGTTTCACCAAATCTACACCCCTGAATTTCCCCATGATTTTGTAAAGTAGGTTTGGTAGATCCATAGATACAAATCTAGGTGTAAAAACGGGTCTGGTGCTTTTCTGCATTGCTCAACTGTGAGAATTTTTGAAGGAAAAAAGACATTCAAACTTTGATAGAGAAGACTAATTGGAGACTATTAAACACTAATGGAATAATTGCCTTAAAATCATGCTAATAGCTTCCTGGCTGCTACATGTTTACTTGGCCAGTTGCTGCAGCTTGAATTAAGTAATTATCTCCACCATTTAAAACCACTCCTGATGCGCCCTGCAAGTGTTTCTGGGGAAGGAAACGACTGCTCGGTCATCCTCAAAGTTCAGGTTTTCTTAGGTGAAGCAACCAGAGAGTGAAGAGCTGCTTGATAATGAGGCTACCCACTTGGGGCAGCTGACCCAGCTTACTCAGGGCTAGTGCAAAGGACAATATGCAGGTGTGTGATATTCCCCATTCCCCCCTCTCCTCCCCCCCCCCCACACATACACTGTGAGTGCAGTACTGGCATCGCTAAACATTTCTCTCCTCTCTGCATCTTTAATGCTTTCAGAACCAAATCGCTTACTGGCTGTTTTGCATTTAAATGTCCTCATGATTTGGTATTGACTGGCCTAAGGAATTGTTAGTATTAGTAGTTTTTACTTCCAGTCTATTTTTCAAAAGAATGGCGCTGTTGGAATACATTGACAGTTACTCAGATTTTAGTCTCATTCATCATTTCTTCCAGTCTCTGATGACACCAAACTAAATTTTCATTCATACATGTTTCTGTAAATAATATCTTGGAATTTGGGGTTATGAATGATGCTTCCTCTCACTATAGGCAATTGAGAGAGGATAAGTAGAGATGGAAACAGTAAGACAGACTATAAAATTCAGGTGAGAGCGAGTCTGATGAATTTCTGGCATCATTGCAGTAGAGTTCTAACCCTATAATCACGGTGTTCCAGAACCATGGTAAAGAGATCCATCATCAGAGCAAGCAAGCTGTTGTTTGATCTGGGTAACGTGTTAGTGGTCTGGGTCTGTGATACGTAGTCATTCTGTCCCACATCTGAAAGATCGGGAAGGGTTTTTTATTCTATGAGAGGGATCTGCTATGCATTTTCTGATATGTGATGAAAATCTTCTTCACATAATACAGCAAGTTGACCATGTAACAGTGAAAGGTGGGCCAAAATATGTGGTATTGGAACTCAGAGAGGGTGTATGTTTCCTTGTTGGAGGGTTCATAGACAGACCTCAAGATGGACCCCTATCCTTGGAACGTACATTCCACCCACTGTTCCCACACCTGGAGCCCTTTTCAAGGCTGCTGCCTTAAGAGAGTAAGTTGTTATTATATTATATTATTATATAGACCATCTGGCAATACACATGACTGAACCTGGGTAAGGCCTCTATCTGAACTCTTAAGATTCTGGTGGGTGGGTGCAAAGGTGTACTCTTCTTGAGGCCACCGAAGACAAGCCTTGTTCCCTTGCTTTACTAAACCTGCTACCTACCAGTCTGGGGTGGCCCGCTTCCTTCTCTGGCCTTTCCTGCCCTTTGTGTACATGGGTCAGTGTTCGAC